TACCGAACCCCACCAGTTTCATATGCGCATTCACTGAACCCCTCTTTAGTGAAAAATAAAATGTGATTTTTTTCAAATTCAAGACATATATATGTTTTTTATTGGTGCACAAAATGAGCCGTGCATGTCACTGTGGAGGCTCTGCCGAACCCATGAGACCGACTCACCGAACCCCTAGGGTTCGATCGAACCCAGGTTAAGAACCACTGCTATAGAGATATAGCCACACATAAGTTTGAGATGCATTTTTAAATGGTAAGAAGGTAAAAAAAAAATTACCACTGACACAACTCTGACTTATCCAAAGGCTCTGGCTTAAACATAGGCAGATTGATTGAACTTCCTCTGGTCTGCTGCTGTGGAACCAAAAATGCACCCGTGCTCTTACAGTAGTCAGTGTTTTAAACCAAAAAGATAAACACTTCTGCCTATTTTAATTTCAGACTTTGTTTTTGTACACATGCAGCAGAGGGTGCTTTTTTTTGATAGAAATTGAAAAAAACTAACCTGATTGCTTCTGTATGTAATGCATGAAAATAACATGTGCATGCAGAATGTATTTAGGGTGGAAGTGGAGCAATATGAGCCACAGTATCTTATGGTTCCTATTGCTCCAGTTTCATTGTGGCAGCACACATACTTTACAGAAACACTTGTTTAAAATATCCACACAAACCAACCATTGCAAGTGCACCACGAGATCAAGCCTTTTAAACAGGCTTAGAACAATCTTTAATCTGTTTTGGCCTTTTCTCGTCGATATGCTGTTTTGAAGATGATTCTATGTGTGTCCATACCCTGAGTCTTTGTCAGGTTGTCATAGTTGTACCCACTATTGAAAAAAAAAAACATTTCAAAGAAGAAATTAGTCATGTTGAAAAGCCGCATTTACTGATGTAAGTTTGTGTCTGTGTACTTTTGGCTTCTTTTTTTTAATGGATAGTGTAGCACAGATGATGATGCTCCCCACAAAGCTGACAATGACCAAGGCTGTCTTACACCACCAGTCATAATGAAACTCTGTTGATCTGTTCTACAGAATAGATGTGCATTTTCCACATGGTTATATTCCATACTGAGTGCTCTTGGTTGTATAGCAGAAAAACAAGGCAGAATGAAAAAGATTATTGCTCTGGATTTAAAACATATTGATATTATACATTGCTACTACCAAGGGTCTGTTTTGTTGTTATATTGTTAATCTGATTGTTCTGAATAAATGCTGTATTTGATTAAAGAGGAATCTGATTTGTCTCAGATCTTTATACATGTGTGAGTTGAGTGGTCTCTGTATGTGTGTGTTGCATGTGACTGATGTGTGTATACAGAATGTATCTGAGAAGCTGGTGGAAAATGAGGAGAAACACAATTTCCCATGTAAGAACCAGTTTCACTGAAATGTGGCTTTTGTGTTAACTTCTGTCTGTGTCTCTGCGTGACCTGCCCAACCAATTCCTCTTTCAATTCACTTCCTGTCCTATTTTGAATTTTCAAGATTCAAGATTTTCATTTGCTATTTGAGCACGGGACCAACAGTCCATGCACATTTGAATTCTTGTGCAGAGCTCTCCAGGTCAAGTTACATTTTTTACAAGGTAAAAAAAAAGCAACTTACAAAAAAACAACAAAATAGAAATAAAGCAAAGAATGGAGCAATCATAATATTTACTATATACAAAAATACAAAAACACTGTACAGAGGGTGGTAATACACTTCCTACTATTGCACACATAATATTGCACATTTTCACAAATCTGTTTCAGTGAGTATATTGCACATTAATCAGTGATTAATTCCATTGTACATTCATACATTCAAAATGAGGTGAGGTAGTGCTGTGTTATTTTAAGATTTCAGTGGTTTTTGGTTTTGCCATCGGTCTGACTATGGCGTGTTCAGTGTTGTTATGAGTATTCTGTGTTTTTTGTTTTGCCATCGGTCTGACTATGGCGTGTTCAGTGTTGTTATGAGTATTCTGTGTTTTTTGTTTTGCCATCAGTCTGACAGTTGCGAGGAAGAAGCTGTTGAAAAACCTTGTTGTGTCCACTCCGTTGTGTCTCAGATTATATGTTCGTATACTTGTGTCTGAGCAGTGGGTGAGCTGGATGGTGTGGGTCCCTAATAATTCTCTCTGCTCTTTTTCGGCAGTGTTGTGTTTACAGAGAGCGCATGGAAAGAAGTTTTGTTCCTATGATCCTCTCCACAGACGTTATGACTTTTTGCAGAGCCTTCCTCTCTGCTTGTGTGGTGTTCCCATACCAGACAGTAATGCCTGTGCTGAGGATGCTGTGTATGAGTCCTCTGTAGCTCTGGGTGAGAGGGCGGTGGTTCAAGCAGCCGACTGAAACAAAGCTGGTGTCCAAATTCATAGGCTGCATCCTCCTGAGGCCGCATTTGTAGGCTGATTACATCACAGTGACGCGACGAAGGCCGTCTAAATTCGTAGACTCCTCCAAATGCAGCTGACAAATGCGTCCTCCTTTTCCCCAGATTTGAAGGATGGGTCGGGTGTCTCCTTCGTGACCCACCATATCCCAGAATTTATAGCGAGGCTCAGCCAATTCCAGTTTCCAACAATGGCGGCATCTACTTAGTTTTAATATTGCTTTTATTACTCTTTCTGGGTCACAAAATAAACTTTTAAGATATTTTCAGGCGAGAATGTAGCCGTGTAAACTTCAAATATCTGCTCGGTTTATCAAGATATCACATATTTACAAAAGTGCTCCGACGTTTTCTGAGACATCCGTTACCCACCAGCTCCATAGCTAGCTGGGGCGATTGGTGTGTTCCATCTCCCTGATTACCTCATGTGTATGTAAGTCCGCAGTTTCTCTCTGTTCTTTGTCACATTGTTGTCTTACCTTTAATGCTGTGTGCATCCTTATCCCTATCCTAGCTATAGTACTTCTTAGTTTGTATTTTATTCTCAAGTTCATAAGTCCCTGCAATAAAGCTATGTAAAATTCATGTTTTGTCTCCAGAGTCCTGTATCAGTCTGGCTGGTACAAAGCCAGCTCATGACAACAACAAACAAACAAGAACCCAAACCTATGAGAATACAAAACTTAGCGAAAACAAAACAGGGAATAAATATATCATTATTTCCCTCATCTGCCAGCTCTTATGTTAACATGCTTACAAACAAGTTAAATGGCTGCCAAACCCTATAAAAACTTTGCTGCTTTTTTTCCTTCAAAGTTGATTTCAGTTATTTTAAGTATAGAAACTCTGTTACATGATAATCCAATGAGTGTGGGTGGGCGGTGTCTCATCTTTCCATCTTATGACAACTTCTATCTATTAGTGTAGGAAAACCAATCTCATCTTTAAGTGATGATGTATGAACCCTGCTTCCAGGTTCAAACTACCCTGTGTTTATTAAGGCTGTTGTGTTTTCAACATGTTTTAATGCTTTGTCTTGTTCTATTTATTCTGAACAAGGCCCTAAGAAAGCTAGTGATCACTATTGGCCTTTCTCAATTTTTATTACCACTACTCAATATACCAATATACTAAGTATATTGGGTTTCACTGTATAGGGTTTTGTTTTTTTTATTTTACAAAATGCAACTCTGAATGAACTAAATATTGAACAGAAAATATATTGTAACATTCTGCAATCTCAAATGCAATTTTCAAAAAGTAAAGATACAGAAAAGATATTCATTATCAAAGATATAATTATATATTATAAAAATATTAATATATTGTGGAACTATGAGCAACTATGAGCAAAGTTGTGTACAGTATTGTGTACTTAGTGCTTTGCTAATAGTGACAAACTTCAGGGGAGTTCATAATGACAAAAAGCTCCAAACACTGCTGTAAGTCAGGTTTCTTCTTTTGTTTTTGTGACCTCAGCATGCTGAGAGACTTAAAGCTGAAAAAGACAAAAAAAAAAGAAGATAATTTTAGGGAAGAAATTTCTCTTTCTATCTATTTAATCAAACATTTTATACCTCAGCTATCTCATTCTTTCTATAGAGTTCTGCAAACTGTGACTAACGTGAGGAGGCTTATTTTTGGCTGCAGGTATCCCTGTATCCTTCTCAGCAGCACACATGTGGGGACCATATAACAGTTTAATAATACTTCTCCTTGAGCTTTGCTTCCTCACAAGACCAAAGCTGTCATCCTTTGTTACACAGTCTTATTGTCGTCCACCTGGATGAAAAAGCATTTACACTAAACATTGTTTTTGTTTTCTGATTCTGCAAAAAGACTGAGATCAGCAAAGGCCAGAGAACACAAGATACACAAGATCCAACAAAAAAAAACACTAGCAGGGAAATGGAAAATGCTGTCTTGGTCTTACTAGATGTTGTCTAACTGGATTTTCTCTCTGTGCTTGAGTTGAACAATCTAGTTTAGAAAATATTATATATTTATAAGTGTAAATTCTAGATTTATCTGTCAGTGTTAATTACATTTAATTACTTATTTAATTAAACAATATTTTTGTTCAAGTGGAAATCTAAAATGGATGTTATAAATACATATTAACAAATGTACTTAAAAACAAAAAACAAATCTGTGCTGTATTTGTTAATATTTGTTTTCTTCAGGTCTTCTTCCGTCTTTTTAAAAACAGAAAATATGTCCCAAACTAAAATATTTTTTCAGAGTCTTTATTTAGGCTTTTGACATTAAAACAGAGACAGTGATGTAAAAGATTAGCAACACATGATCTCTCACGATTAGAAATATAAATTTTAATTTGACCAAAATTGTATTGATATGCAATAAAGCAATAAAAGTAAAAGAAAACAACAACAACAACTCAAAAGAAAAGTATTCAAAGAGTAAAAGAAAATCCCATTATCATCAATATGGAAGCAGTTTATAAGAAATATATTGAAATTGTTATCAGGCTTACACTTAAACCACTGCATACACATTCTATAGGAATATTACACACACAGCGTAATAATTTCACATTGGGGGGGGAATAAAGAAAGAACTTAAGTTACACATTCATATTGATAACATTTCTTCTTACTTTCATTACATTTTAGGCTCTATTATTGTCATCACTGAAGGGAAAAACAGAAGTTCATAAGAGAAATGTTTTATGAAAACATTGGAAACAAACATTACTCTTGTTTTCAATGGACTGGGGGGAAAAAAAGCAAGCCTTACATAGCTGTGATAATGAATACCTTTCTTTCAGTATGACAGTATCATTCCTGTCGGTACAGGAGCAGGCCTCCTGCCAGGAACAGAAGCCCAGTGGTGAACCAGCCAATGTAGAGTGAGGCTCCCAGCTTTATGCTGACACTACTGTCATGTCTGAGCATGTAGGACTCACGAATGGTGATGTTGGCCATCCAGCAGACAGGTATGAGCACCAAGAAACCTGTAATGATGAAGACGACTCCAGAAGCAAAGCCCACTTTGCGTTTTTGCCCATCATCCAACATGAAGTTAATGCGCTTGTTCCCGGCCACACCAAGCAGGATTCCAAAGATCCCACTGAGGATTGCGATAATGACAAGTGCTCTGGTAGCTTTCATGGCGTCATCTACCAGGGGTGGAAAAACCTCATACCCAACGCATTCCATCTTGCCTGTGGTGTATATTGTACAGATTTTCCATAAACCATACCAAGCCCCATAAATGTCATGAGGGTACACAGAAGTACTAATGAGGACTTTCCAGGCAGGAAGACCACAGATCATGATGGTCCCCAATACGCCGATGATGGCTAAAGCCAAACCCAAAATCTGTCTTCTACCAGCATCCATAATGAAGCTCTTTTGATCTCTTCAAAACAGGAAGTTGGTGTGCTCTTAAGAGCTGCAGTAATGTATCTGTTCAGTAAGTGCTAAGCAGGCATCTTAAATACTCAGCGCAAATGGGTTGTGGCTTTCTCACTCACTTGGGGGTGTGTCCATATGAAGCCTGTGTTGATGCCCCTTATCATTATTATTAAGAGCAGCAAAAATTAAGAAAAAAGCTAAAATAGAAGATAAAATAGAATAGTATACTATACAAAATACAGGGTGGGCCATTTATATGGATACACCGTAATAAAATGGGAATAGTTGTGGCACATTAGTATATGTGAGGGGGAAACTCCTCAAGATGGGTGGTGATCATGTTGGCCATTTAGAAGTCGGCCATCTTGGATACAACTTTTGTTTTTTCAATAGGAAGAAGGTCATGTGACACATCAAACTTATTGGTAATATCACAAGAAAAACAAAAACAAACAAACAAAAACAGTCCAAAATAGAAGAAGAAGAAGAGATTTTTAGGCCCTTATTATTTGAGGCCAAACTATTCAACTAAACCAAAACAAGAAACTGATATCCAAGTGGAGCCAGGTCATAATCTACTCAGCATACTACACTATCCAGCTGATTACATTGTGTGACCCACTCAGCAGCATAGAGCTACCAAAGCGAAAAGTCCGTTTAATTTGAAGGATTTTGAACTTTCTTTGACAGCAGTTATTCTTTTAGTGAAATAAATAAGCTCTGATTATGGAAAATGACACCTGATATGATGGGCACTCTTTGTATGTATTTCTACTGTCATATTGCAAAATAGGAAGTTAGAACAAGTTATTTTTCCATTTTATTAATTCCTCATATTTACTAATACTAACAATGTGAACATTGTTTCTCAATCACCATCATCCCTAACTTATTCCAACATATTCCATTATGGGAATGACCACCACTTAAGCTCTCTTCAAGAGCGATTCCAGCTGGACTTTTTCCATCAATTTAGCACTTTTGCAAGTTTAACAGTTCTCCAGGTCACAAAATAGGCTTGAATGATCCCCTCCACGATTGTGTGTGTGTGTGTGTGTGTGTGTGTGTGTGTGTGAGTTTTTTCGTGTGTGAGTGTGAGTGTGGTTCTTCTGTTCAGTTTTATTGCTTTTTCAG